TGTCATTACATACATCAGCATTTAATGCCCAGGCGGAAACATGACAGGCTAATTAGAACACCAGGTCTTGTGGTTTTACGTAACTACTTTTCTAACTTTGTCGGGGACTATCCCTGGACTTCTCAGATTTTTTTGCAAGGGAGGGGAGCAGCTGTGTGACTAAACACCTGGAATTTCAGGTTAAGAGCTTCATGACAAAGTAAGCCTTAAATCAGGTGCCCTCCTCAACCAGTTGTGCCTAACCTGGCACAACTGTTTTGGAGGGCTGTTAGAAGACCTTATCTCTGCGATAGACAGTTTTCTTTCCTGTTTGTGGAGTGTGAATTTGGCAGCAATGGAAAACTGAGGAGAGCCCCAAAGCTTCTGCACTTGGAAAACTTGGGTTTAAAGAATTAATGGACATAAACAGACTCTGGGGCTAAATACTTACCGGAATACCATTTGCCGTTATGATCATCTGGTTTTGTTGAACAGATGCTTAGGATTTGTCTTCTCAGAGACACGGAGAAAAATTAGGAATCAAATATGTGTTAAACTTGTGCAGATGCACACTTTTAGAACCATAATGCTCCATAACCATAATGCTCCATAACTTAATCCTTTAATGTATGTGCATTCGCTACACAGCCTTGATTCCTCTGAATTTTCCCAAGTTGTTCCTTAAGACAAGGCTCATCAGATTCTTGTCTACACACAAAAGTTAAGACAGACAATTGATGGTCTTTGAATGTAAAGAATAATGCTTGCTCCTGAACTATTTATTAATTATGAAGCAAAAGGGTATTGTTCCTGATTAACTTACCTCACTTACAGGGCTTCTGCACAAGTCATTATGATGTAAGCTAACGTACGCACTTACTGTGTGTTAACAGCTCTACATACACCACCCAAACAGGTCTAATGAGGTGTGAGGGAAAGAACATTTTATACTCTATTGGGCATCTAGCTTAGGTGCTCCAACCCGCAACTACATTAATACATAAAATAGCCAGCAAGTACATGGTACAGGAAACTACTAACACCAAAAGCAAAGATACTTGAAATCTAAACTTGTCTTATCTCACTCCCATTACTCTACTGGCACACCTAGTTTAGAAACTTAGCAACAGCAACCCCAGATTCGTTTTAAAGCCTAGGGAATGTAAAAGAAGGAAGATTCACTTAGAGAACAGCTTAGATTTCACAGAAGTAAGTTTGTTCCCCCAGACACCTGTTATATGGGACAGAGGGAAGCTCTAGGTTTACAGGCTCCTATTTAGCTATATAAAGTTAGTGAGATTAATCCAGGTGCAATTGCCCATTGGGACTGTCCATATAGAAGGCTGGTATAGGAAATGTGAATTCAGATTAATCTACATTTCCTTCCTACATGGTCAAGATTTTAAGACGCTAATTCACTTTCATAGCATGCCTACTAACTAGAAACCAGGCTCCCTTTCTTCTTAAGGAACGGCTGAGGTTGGAAGGGACCTTTGGAGGTCATCTGGTCCAACTCTGCTGCTCAAGTGGGGCCACCCAGAGACAGTTGCCCAGGACCATGTCCAGATGACTTTTGAATATCCCCATGGAGACCCCACAACTTCTCTGGGCAACCTGTGCCAGTGCTAAGTCACTCTCACACTGCACATTCCTGATGTTCAAGAGGGAACCTCCTGTATTTCAGTTTGTGCCCATTGCCTCTGGTCCTGCCACTGGGCATCACTGAGAAGAGCCCGGCTCTAAAAAACTCTTTGTGTAGACATTTACTTGGGAACTACACAGACAGACTCTCAAAGTGAAGGCCTGGTTGTGAACACACTTCTGATATACCAGTTATATTGCAGCAGCTACCTGTGCACATATACTTACCACAGGGCAAATGTGAGCAACTTAATTCCTCAGAGAGGAGAAAGTTAGCTCGCACCTTCTGAGTTTTGGTTTAAACAGAACACATAGAAAAACCCTCAAGGTACCATTCCTCTGACCAAACACAGATGATAATGTTTGAACTAGTCATCCAGACACCTTCTGTAGTGAGGAAGCAGCCAGCTCCTGTGTTGTGAAAGTACCTAATCATCAGATAGGAACATGACTAAAACTCGCCAAAAAAACCTGCAGTCTGCTAACCAGGTAGCACCTTTTTCTCTCCACTGACCATTAACCCTAAAGCACCACTGTAGATGCACCAAGGGTGTGATTTCTCCTGCTTACTGGGAAGTACAGTGCTATACAAGCCCTGAATAATCTTCAAACACCTTTTTTACCTGACTATAAACTCAGCACCACTATGATAGGAGCTTTCTGAGAAAACTTCCATCAGCTGCCTATCCCATCCAGTTGTAACAGCAAGACAAAGATGGGAAGATACCCATATTGGCTCATCTGGGTGTAACAATGAACTTTTGGGGCATTGTCCCACAGAATTAAGGAAAACATTCCTACACCAAGTTACTAGTTTAAAGTATTAATTTGAAACTTTTACTTGAGCTACTTATAGCGCACTGGCTTTGTGCTGAAATAATGCAGTCTATCAGGTAATTGGTGTGTAGCCACTGCCCTGAAGACACTCAGTAATTCTCATAGTTTCTGATCATAGCGTTAAAGGAAACTCTCAGCATCACATGGTATTTGCAGCAGTTTAGGGACATCTAAACAGGGGAAAACCCCAGTTCCCACTCCATTCTCAGTCACAAGTCTTCTCTTCCTGCTTCGTAGGAGTCACCTATGCAACTGGGAAGCCATCAAGTCAACAAAAAATGCTCTTGAACAGGTGATCAGCTTCTTTCTGTGCTGCCTTTTTAAGGTGTGACTAGAGGTGACGGAAGTTTCAGAATTGTTTCTAAAACAGCTCATCTATATCAGGAAAAACTAACCCTTTGATTTTTTTTCTCTGGAGGCATGAACTGAATTTAAGCTCAGTCTCCCATTCTGCAAGACAAGTACTATCCATTTTGTTAAGTTTGGAGAAACAGCTTTCTCCTGGGATGCTGCATGCAATAGTTTTGATAGGACTTGACAAACTAGAATAATGTAAGGTTAGCCTCAGATATCCTCCCCACAAGCACTTCTCACCAGATCTACAAGGTACCTGGTATCCCCTTTCTCTGTATGTATCTAATTGACTTTTGAATAGGAGATTACAAGTAAAGGGTCTGAACAAGTTTTAGAAACATGATCATAGAGCGCACCAGCCACCGCTCAGCCCCACAGTTCAAGAACTGAGATGGGCCATGATATTTCTGGAATGGTAGGAAATTCAGAGAAACCAGGATGACGATGTATTTGACAATTAAAATAGAACAAGCCCTGAAATGTGCTTTTTAAGTAAGCCTATAACCATTGTAAATTGGCATGATGCTTCATACAAACTCGGTATTACTGGTCAGCTTCTTATTTTTCCTTTTCTGTCACGCTAGGAGGTGTCTTGAGTATCAATATATCAAACTTTAAAAGTTCCTTCTTAGTCCAAACCAGCAATATAGATTGAGACATCTTAGAAAAACAAATGTGCATAAAATGATGCTACGTAATAAGAATGAAATTTGCTGTACTCACTCTGAGTGACTTTGCTGTAAGAGCATAGGAGTTGTTTTGGCCCTGGGGAAGTCACTAAGAGGCTTTTTCAAAAGAGCATGGATTTTGGAGTAAGGGTTAATGTAAACAGTTTCTCCTACTTTAGATTAATTTCTAAACAGGCTTAGTTAACAGCACTATTCTCCACATAGATACTAATTTTTTTGTATTTATGATATATATATATAGATAGTAATAACTGCAGCTGTACTGAAACTACATTTACTTTTTAATTCATTAAAACTGCATCCAGCCCAGGTCATTTTTATGTAGCTCTAAACGATGCTCCATAGAAAACCAAAATGAATATTCTTCTAAAGCTTTTTGGCCAGTCACTTCATCAGTGAGTTTAGAAACTAGAGAAAAGTGTAAGCTCCTAAAGCTGAATGTCACAGTACTTACTGATAGACTTAAGAGATGACACTGTAAACCATGCAGCTGACAAAGTGGATACAGAAACTGAGCAATAAATATTTGAACTGTGTTGATACTAAAGAGCTATGGAACAGGCACAAGTAGTTTGCACCAGTTTAGTCTTTCAAGGAAGCATCGCAATCACTGTTTTTAAAGAAAAGGTGGCTCACTTTAATAACCACAGGCATTGGTCACTATTTAACAAGACATTCTAAAAAAGTAATCACAATTTGTCCGATAGTAGTTTACAAGTGGATGGTATACATTAAGATACAGAGGTAGAAGTTCACTTTTACAATGCTTCACTAATACAGATTACCTAATTATTCAAGGCACAAAATTGTTCGCTTTACAAAAAATACTGTAAAAATGTCATTTGCTGTCCTACAATGTGAGTACAACTCAAAAAAATCTTTACACCCTTCCATATTCCACACGTAGAGCTGCATCAGGCGTTACGCTGTTTCTCATTTGCTAATAATCGGCTTACATAAACAGCTTCTATCTCAGCTGAGTTGCTTTGTCTTTTAGGCACATGTCCAGTTACAGAAATTTAATACAACAGCTTCCTCGGGGTGTGGGAGAACTCTGTTGGAAGTGAGAATGAGGAGAAAGAAAACACGCATATAGTCCATAATATTAGATTGTACTCTGACCAATAGAGGGAAACAGAACAAAGCATGTTTCAAAAAAGTCAGTTTAAATCACTGACTACATTCCTAGAAAACCAGATGCCCAGTACAGGTTTGCTCTGAGAGTATTTGAGACATTCACTTGCCTTTGTATCAGCAGAGATTTACAAATTTCTTTTTACGTTTGTTTAAATAGAACACACACAATTGCTACAAAAGAGAATTACACCACAATTTGGCCATGTGTCCTTTAGAGAGCTTGGGTGAACAAGTGAAGAGATGCATTCAGAAACTGTCCTTAAATTTGCTAAAAGGTCATGAGCAGTTCTTCAAGCTGGAGACAGCTCTTATACATCTTGGCAGGCTGAGGAAGAAGATATCACACAGTGCATCCCTGCAAGAAGTAGTATGACTAGTTTACTGTACATACAGTGATATTCTAAAGGACAATGGTGGCAGCTACATAGTAAATTCACTTTGCTTACCTATCACATTTTCCAAGTACTCTAGTCAGTTTTATTTACAGTATATAAAAACCCATTGATTTTTAGAGTTCAATACACAGGTTTAGGACCCAAGAGAATGCCACAGTAAGATGCTGACATTTGCATCTGTTAGATGCAAGTGCACTTTGCAATTCAGTCATGTTACATTATTGTATTCACCTATAAACGTTAGTCCGTCCAAAACAGTGTTAAATTCCATTTTTTGCTTCATTGTTGTTTGTAGCCTGTTTCCTTTGAGCGATGAAAGGGTACATACACTTGTCTGCTCCCAAAAAGCGGTACATGCATACAACTGCTTCAAAGGGAAGAATACTGTGAAAAAGAGGTTGTAAAATTATTGGAAGGCAGCATAAAACAAAACCTCTGCTTACAGCATGTACTCCTTCAAAGCAACGTAATAGCTATTGGAGAGGCTTCCTAAGAGACTTAAAGGATTTTTATTTCACAGGGATACTTACAGAGAAAATTTAAATTTTAGAGTCCCAACCATACAGGCAAGCGACTTATTCATATGCCTCCAGCTCAGACCAGATTTCCTGCTGCTTCTTCACAAGCAGTGTGATAGCTTGTTTTAAAGAAGGGAGGTGGGGGGTGGGCAAGGGCATCATAGAAGGCCTACTAAAAGCAAAGCAGCTGCTCAAAGCCACATCAGCAGAGGTCATCAGACATTTAAGATATTCTTTAATGTGGGATTAGAGATAGTTAATGCCATTCTTTGATCACCAGATGTCTAACAACCTTGACTTATATTCTAAACTCAATCATCCATTCTCAGAAAGAAAGGTCTGAAGTAAAGAGAGCAATTTCCTTTTTTCCTCCTCTCCAGATAAAATTCCAAGAGGTGACTATGTGATGGATACCTGGCTATAGACCCTCTTCCTCCTTCCCACATCCACAAAATATGACTTTTATTTCAAGTACAGTACTCAGGAGCTCAGCCCCTGGAAATAGTGGCAGACACTCATTCAGTGGAAAGTCATGCACAGAATGTGGCCATTAGGAGTAATGACCACTGAA